CATAAGAGGCATCCCTCTTTGCATCCGCTTCTTCCCGCACGGAGGGGGGGGGGGAATCCACTTTTTTTTTGTCAGTTTTATTCAGAACTCACGTTCATTGTCGGTCAGATTCTCTGACCACGCTGTGTTTTAACGATCTTCCGCTCGCTCTCCGGCGCTTGTTCCGGTCAAACCAGCTTGTGCCCGAAGGCCACACAGCAACTGGACCGTCAGGGCAGAGGGGAGCCTCGATTCTCCGACATTACACCATTGAAGAGGCTAACCCTCAAAAGCCCTCTGGCCTGGAGCCTATCGCAAAGGCTCCGCGGGGGTGTCACTTGAGGTGGCACTCCTCCAGGCCGCTGGTGTGCGATTCGCCCTCCCGCGACTTGGGGAGAGCGACCGCCATCGCTGCTTCGTAAACCGGAAGTCCATTAGCAGGATTTTCATAATAAATCTTCAGATACTTGACAGGTTCTAAAAGTTGGCCGCAATAATTCCCATTAAAAGGTTACATCACAACATCTGCTAATAAATCTCAAATACTCCCTTTTTCATTAAAACAAGGGTCGGAAAACATGTTAACTAAAAATGATTTACATTACTTAGTATTTCTAGAGTTTTAAAACAGGATGTTAAATCCTCCAGGAGAAACCCAAAGAATTGTATCCCATAGGTTTCCTTTTTTAAAGTAACAATAATGAATTAAAAAATAATTTGAGTGCTGGCGCCTCCTACAAATCCCCCCTTTGACCCAAAACTGCCTCTTCAGTTTCCTGGGTCACTCCTGAATGTTTACGTTCACTTGCTGTACAACAGATTATTGCTGGAGGGCCATATAACATTGCTTAGCGATTTTGCAAAGATTGGCAAAGGTTTACACACACATTTATGACATTTAGAAATACACTATTATTATAATTACCATTTGTTCACTTTTAACTTGAATTTTTAGGGATTGTGCCAACTTCGGGACATAAGATCTGTGTTTAGCTCGTAGCATATTGTATGGGACTAGGGTTTTGGCACAAACGACAAGAATATCCATAACTTTTCCACCACTCCCCAACATCAAATCTATTGATTCACAGGGGAGTCTCTGGCTATTGGACATCTATATTTGGAATGGAACTACGTGTTAATAGCGGCTTGGGCTGCCTTGATGAGAGAATTTGCCAAACCCCTGTCCTCGAAAGAGCTCTCTCGGCCCCACCTACCTCAAGGGATGTCTGTTGTGGGGAGGAGAAGGGAAAGGAGTTTGTAAGCCACTCTGAGTAAAGGACAGGATATAAATCCAATCTCTTCTCTTTTTCATCTCCCCCAATTTCCCCCACGTCTTCTTGATCCTTATTTTTTAGGATCAAGATGCAGGGAAAATTGGGGGGAGATGCGGGTCAAAATGCGGCCATGCAGCAAATAGTGGGAAATTGAGCAGTACAACCATGGGAAACAGGAGACCGAGGGCAGAACAACTGCTTTTGCGGAATCGGTCATAGATTTGACAAATATGAGTGGAGCAGCATGTTGTGCTTCAGATCTGTAATACTGTAACAAGTGGAGTAAATAAGCCACGCTTATTTCATATGTGATGGACATAAAAACATGCTCCCAGTTATTGGAAGCGAGAGGTTAGGATTATATTATCTGGTCTGGGAAAACAAATTCCCAACATTACTGCTAAATTATGTAACTGATATCCCTAGATATCTTCAACTGGTAGCCTTCTATTATTACTGCTGCCAGACTGGTGATTGCTAGGAAATGGAAGCAAAAAATGCTCAAGGCTGGCTGTTGAAAGTAAAAGAGAACCATGTCTGGGTGAAATTAAGGGCTTACGAAAATATTATTGTTGATGGCTTCTGAACATGGTGTGAAAACTGCTGAGCTGCCTGATTTTGTTTTCTGACTGCCCTTATTTATTTGGATTTCTACCTTGCCCTCCCAGCCGAGACCGGCTCACCCCTTGCAGCAAAGGAATCCCCTCTCTTAAGGCTGGTCTCCTTGCAGAATGCTGATGGCTCCTGGGTCCTTAATTTCGAGCTGGCCAGTCTGCTGGGCCTGAGTAAGGACGAGATCATGAGTAAAACACCTGAACAGGTAAGTTCTGTGGCAAGGCCAGAACCTGGCATTTCAGTGGGTTACCTGTGTGGGGAAATAGCACTGTAATGATTTAAAGTTTTAAGTGTGTGTTTCTTTACATGTTGGTAAGTTTTGGAAGAGAAAGGGGAGTGAAAGAGGGTGATGAGTGAGTGAGGTGATTGGTTGGTGACTGAGAGTGTATGGGTGGAGCTGAAAAAAGTAAAGAGTGAGGGAGAGAAAGCAGCTGTTAACGGTCTCTAGTAGTCAGTCAGTCAGCAGTTATCGTCAACAGAAAAAGTTCAGGATCCAGCAGAGTGCTGTGAAATGCATTAGGATTCTGGAGAAGAAAGTAGTAATACTTACAGAAGACATATTAGTGACTAGAGAGAGTCAAATCCTAATATCATCAAAGTATTATAACAGTGTGAAGTAAAGAAGCTGACAGAAACCTGAGTTAAAAGAAATTGAAAGATTTAACTGAGCAAAATATATTTGAACAAAGCAGATTGTGAGGAGAAAGGACCTGATAAAGAGGAGTGATTGTGAAGTGAAAGAATATGACAATTTAGCCAGAGGTTATTAACATCCACAGTTTCATTTACAGAAGAAACAAGTTGCTAAACATCCTGAAACCAATACACTTCTTGTACAAATAAAGCTTTATTTTGTTTTATGAAAACCTGGAGTCATATGTTAGTAAAAGGGAATGAGTCCCGTTCTGATTGGTCGCTGTTGCGGGCCGACCAATGATAAGTTAGCTCGATTCACATATGTCTTTTCCGAAGACACCACATTACCAAAGAGAGAGAGAGAGTGACAAATAACAAGAAAGTTAAAGACACACCATATCCAGCTACAAAATAAAAGACAGTAGTCATGACAAGCACTCTAAGTTATTCACATGGCTTCAGGGCAGTAATCTAAGGGGTTTTCATTTCTGGGGGGAAAGCAGACATAATACTAGGCCTAACCAGCTTCCTCAGATTCCAAACCTACAGTGAAATCAGGGTTTCAACTGCAGAGCAAAGGGGGCAAAAATTGCCCTAACCATGGTCTGCTTTGTGCTGTTGTAATCCATGACCATAATTACTACAAAACATAGTTTGCAACCCAGGCTTTCACATCCTCATTTACACGCCGGCTGAAAACATAGATTCAGTTTTTTTGTTTGACCGTAATTAAGTGTTAGGCCTGTACAGGGCCTGTGAGTGGACAAGACTCAGTGTCTCTCTTCTTTCCCCCCACCCCACTAGGTGACCACCAATGTGTGGGCAACTGTGCTGGCCATCCTGTGGCTCCACTCCAGCGCTGCAGAGCAGAGGGATGAATGGGAGCTTCTGGAAGTGAAAGCACTCAGTTGGCTTCAAGCAAGTGCAGGTGAGAGGGTTGTGGCAGGGGGAGGAAGGATCCCAACAAAAGGGCAAGAGAGGGAAGACTAGAAAGCAGAGTCTGGCGAGTGGGACTTGGACTGTAGCCTCCAGTCCAACAAGTCCCCAGCTAGGATTCCAGTTCTCCAGGGGTGTCTATTTCTCAGATCCCAGCCCAATATTCCTTCTCTCCGAGCTGGACAGTATTGTGTGGCTAACTTTAAAATGCAGGTTTTATTTTTAAAAGCTGCTAAAGGTGTGTGTGTGTGTATATATATTTTATATATATATATATATATATTTACTCTTCTCCACTGACTTTTCTTCCTCTGTATTCTGTGGTTGCAGTCAGAAAAATCCAATCAGTGAGCACATATCTGAGATCTTATTGCTCTTCAGCTTTGAAATGGAGATGAGCACCGCAACCCTAGAGTCGGATTCGATTGACTTTTGAGCAAGGGAACCTTTACTTTTTAAAAGCTATAGAAAGAGAGATCTCATAAAAGAGCCTTGCAGCATAGTGAGCTCTGCGTGAGGTGTCTCCTTCCTTTATGAATGTCTGAAGTGTAACAGTGAAGCCACCCTTGTGCACATGCCACTGATTCAGGGGCCAAGTTCGACTGGCAGTTTGGCCTGATATAGGCACGTTTCAGAAACGGATTAAAGGGGCCATTCACACAGGTACATCTGTCAGGCGTTCCCCAGCCATACTCAACCTGTCTTATAATGCTTCCCTCCAGAGTTTAAAAGATACCAGTGGTAGCAAACCCCTGGAGAGCGCGTCGATCCTGCTTCCCGGAAGTGTGAATGCTGAAAGCCACGCAAACAAGCCACATTGATCATTGTGTATGCATCTATGCGCATAGGCACATGTTGCCGGAATGAGAAGAAGCCGCTTACAGCCGCACCTCTGCCAGGGGTGGGCCAACAGTGGGAACACTCCCTTGCGGCTCCTCCTGGTATGCTCCTGCATCAGTTGGTGCAGTGTGACCGGGAATACCTGGAACATGCTGTTCAGGGTCTTTTTTGCCACGACTCCCTCGCGCTTCAAACTGCCTGTCTGAACTCAGCCAGGGTGGCTGCATTCCTCCACCACTGGTGGGGAGTGAACTAGAGAGCGTCTGGGACAAGAAAGACCTACAGTTACCACTTTCTTTCCCCCATTTGTTTGCTGTTAGCTTGCTCTGTCCACTGCCGTCCAGCAGGCCATTTTCCAGAAGGGGACGTATGGCTAGCCAACCTCTGAACGTGTAGATAGAGGTGGCTTCCCTATTATGTTACGGACATGTGTATGCTAAACGAGAGAAGAAGAAGAAAACTTTCTAATGTACCCCAGCATTTAGACTAAAAATATTTCCACCCCACTGTTATTTCTGCCTTTGATTGGCCAGGGCGGCTCGTCTCATTCCAGCTTAACGGTTTCTTTAAGAAAGATCGAGCAAGAAAGAACAAGATTGTGGCTTGTACAGGAGAGACTGACTTTATTAATTTGAAAATGGGAAGGAAATGTCACCTAGTAACAGAAAACCAGGATTCCTTGGCTACAAATGACTGGCTAGTCATTAGGTGATTGCCTATCCAATTCAATAATTTTATTGCCAGGGTCTCTCCAGGAAACTCTTTACCATCCCATATAAGCAGTTCATTGAGATGTAAATCTGCCTGTGTTTCTGCTTTGGATGGACCCATAGTTTGACTTGGCTACCTCCAGTGACCTTTTCTACAGAGGATTTTTTTTTTAAATCCCCTTTTGGTATTGGAGAGATTTTCTCCTGCTCCTTAGATGAACCTCCCCTCCAGTGTTCCCTCTAAGTTGAGTTAGTGTGAGCTAGCTCACGAGTTTTTAGCCTCCAGCTCACACATTTTTGTCTTAGCTCAGGAAGGGCAGCTCCAGAGCAGACTCATTTATGCAGTAGCCAAATCAGTCTCTCACAACTTTAATGTCAGCAGCTCACAAGGTAGAATTTTTGCTCACAACCACAAGACTCCACAGTTTAGTCCCCCACTAGCCTACTTTTGGGTGCTCAGCAGCAGCAAGGTGATCTTCCTTGTGCTCAGAGCATTAAACCTGGAAAGGGAACTTACAATTCGAATAGGGTTGCCAGCTCTGGGTTGGGAAATTCCTGGAGATTTCGGGGGTGGAGGGGAAGGACCTCAACAGGGTGAAATCCCATAACATCCAGACATTTTTTCCCCTGGGGAACTGATCTTTATCAGCTGGAGATCCATTGTAATAGCAGGAGATCTCCAGCCACCACCTGGCAGTTAATGCATGAACAAAAACCAAAAATGCTGTGGAGAATAATAAAAACAAATAGGCAAAATATATGTGTGTATGCGTAAGTGAAAATACATTAATAATAATAAAGTCCCCCAACTTTTCAGCATTCAGAGACAATATTAACATTCAAAGTGCATATTGTTCCAGCTTTAGTGCTTGATGTGAAACTGACTTTGTTGAACTCTCTGGAATGTTACGTTCCTGTATTCTCTTCTGAAGAAGCATTTTCAAGTTGATGTTATTGTTAAGGAAGAAGGAATTACACGCACAAGTGCTTCATTCCTACAAACAACTTTATCTCATTTTGACTGTTATGGCTTGCTTTGATATGGATTTGGACTTTTGCACACAGTATGCACTTTGAATGTTGATATTGTCTCTAAATGCTGAAAAGTTGTGACTTTATTATTGTTAATGTATTTTCATTTACACATACACACACATACATACATATATATTGCCTACTTGTTTTCATTATTCTCCACAGTATTTTTGTTTTTTGTTTTTGCATTATCTTCTTCCGTGGTTCTCTCTGGTTGTACCATCTGGAGATTGGCCACCATAGATTTGAAAAGGGGCTTGCAGGGCCCTACCAGAGAGATGCTAAAATGCAATCTGAGTACATTGTGCTTGTGGTGAAAGACTCAACTCTTTCTCTGTCTGTCGTAGGGTCTCAGCTAGCGGACTGCGTGAAGACTGGCAATGCAGTGCTGGGCAGTAGCGTGAGCCCCCAGACTTTTGGCCTCTGAGCTCCACTCTGTTCCCTTGTGCCTTAAAACTGGAGCTCCTGCTTCACTCCCTCTTCTCATCCTGCCCACGTGTAACCAGCTGCTTCTACAAGGACTGCATAGAATCCCTGGACAGCAGTCAATTCTGGTGCCTGAGAGTCTTCCCTGCAAATATAGTGGGCACTAGCCTCCATCTGAAGGCTGCTGCTCCTTCTCCAGCCTTTGAGGTGCATTATGGTTTCAAGTCCTCTTTCTGAGTACTTCATATCTAAACATGCTGCGTAGCTGTCCAATCACTGCACTTTGTAAGCCTGCCTTCCTGTTGCAGTTGTGGTGGAGAGAAGAAGTGTATTAAGGATATTAAGGACTAGCATCAGCATATTAGCAACCTTCAGCAACTGATTCCAATTTCAGCAATTTAAAGGGAAATTATGTTCGTGCCAAATGTGGTGTGGGCCAAGACAGTACCGTTCTCTTTCAGGTACCAAAGAGCAGGCCACAGAGCCAGGTAAATGCCGGGGTGGAAGATAAATGCAAAATTTACTTCTCTCCTTTTGGTGCTCTTAGTAGCCTGAGAAACAGCATAGACTGCATTGTTCCCTTTCTTTCATGTGAGTTCTCTCACTAGTGTATAAGCAAAATATTAAGGAAGAAGGCAGGCATTATGGTTAAATGCGGAATTACAGTAATTACTTGTGGTGTAAATGAGGGATTACTTGCAGGGGAGGGCAGGATATAAATCACATAAAACAAATAAAAAATAAATCCTTCACTTGCAAGCAGTGTTCCCTCTAAGCTGAGTTAGTGTGAGCTAGCTCACAGTTTTTTAGCCTCCAGCTCATAGGTAGGTAGCAGAGACTAGGTGTTACAAAACAAACCTTCCCGAAGAGCATTCATTGGTCCTCTTCTTCACAAAAGCATCTGTGGCACTCAGGCTGCAATCGTACACACAGGCCCGACCTAACACAGGCACGAATGCTGAGCAGATTTAAAGGGCGCGATCAGACAACAACATCTGGGAAGCACCCTGCAGCTGTTGGCAACCCGTTCTGCTCCACCGCAGAAGTGGAGTTAAAAGACACTGGGGGAGATCCGGTAGTGAACAGGTTGTGATGGGCCATGGATGGATTTTCCCCTATGATCGCTCCAGCACGCTCTCATGCCGTTGGGATGGTCTGATCAGGTCACCCCGACTCCATGCCGTTGTTTTTCTCCCCCTTCACAGTATGCGCATCATCACAAACTCCATAGGGAGCCCTCAGTGCAGAGGAACGGTTCATCGATTCCTTGTTTAAGCGCATGGGAAACAAACGGCACAAAAAAAGAAGACTTACCTGCAGTTTGTCAGACCCCCCCCCCCACAGCATCAACGAAGTACACTCTTGTAGAAAGGTTTTACTTTATTTGAAGCTATAGGTGCATAGACAGGATCACTGTTTGGAATGAGG